CCTTGGACTCTAAACCTGATCAAGTCGACCGGGTGCAGTAGGGCCACCCCTCCCAGACCTCAATCAAACTGTCGACAATCTTCTAACATGATAGCATGAAGCACGGTCGTGCATGTCAGAGTCCCCATGTAGTTGTACTATAGGCTTTAGTGCCCCAAAGCCCTCTCCACCCCAAGGCCCCTACATCGACCCGGATCCTACAGCGCATATTGTAGGCAGTCTCGGCATATGTCAGACAGGCCTTTACACGTCTCAAGTAGCTCTTATGTACAATACCGCCACTTCCACCCGAAACAAGACGAACCCTTAATCCTTAATCGCAACTGGTCTATGGTCTAAACTGCCAGGCCACAGAACAACCCTTTAACTCTTTTGGTATCAAGCCTGCATCCTGGACATCCGCTAACTTGCGCACAGCGTTTGGGATTCGGCGACTTGCGGTTTTTGAGAGCCGGAAAAGTTAGGTTAGGGCTTGCGGCTGTAGGGCTCACGTCAAAGAAGCCCCTCTGCTACGACAACCTCAGATTTCGGGTTTGAAGTTTCGTGCTTTAAGAGCCGGAGCCCCAAAGCCCCAAAGCCCCAAAGCCCTAGACCGCAAACCTCAAGCTCGTTGAAAGCTACAGCTCGGCTCGAGACTCAGGGCTCGGGCCTTGCGGGCCTTGCGGGCCTTGCCTTAACCGATGAGAAGCTCAGGAAACCCCGAAGGCCCCAAGATGCCCATCCTGAGTTCCGAAAACTCCAATCTGAACCGACAAACCGGGAAGAAACAATCACCTCTTCCCCGGGCCGAGAGATGCAAAGCCCCTGAACTCCAGGCACGTAGACCTGAAATCCTATATTTTGCATGCAGCCTGCAAATCCTATATAACTACAAACAGAAACCTGGTAGAGCCCGTGTAAAGGCTCGAAATAGCCCCATAATGCCCAAGTAAAACCTTCAACGCCAGCCTTACATAAAACCCCTAGCAAACTGAAACTTTGTTTTTCTGCCGGCTGATCATATGCAACCTTCGAATAAACCCCAAACCAAACCCTCCTACGCGGGAAGGGGCAAGACCGCTGAAGCCCGACCGAAACCCTCTAGACCTTGTAGCTTGAAGTCGGTCCTTGTTGGTCTGGGAACCGACTGTAAGAATGTCGAAAGTGGACACATCGGTCTCGGCCTCCGCCTAAAGTCGCAGCAGTAGGGAGGAGAAGTGGCACATGCACTTGTACTCTTCAGTGGAGGCCTGCTGCTACCGCCAGATACGCTGAGCTGAGGAGGGAACATGGCTGTCACTCCGGCCGGCATGAAACAAATGACTGCCTAAAGGGGCCATAGCAGGTACGTCACTTTCAGTCCACGCCCCTTGACCCTTGAAGTTGAAAGGTCGAAGGTAAGTATCCTGTATAAGGTGGAGGGCCAACGCTCGAACAGCGGCGACCAGGGTAGGTAAACCCAGCAACACCTGAGCCCCTTCACCTCAAACCTCTCATCCCTGATTCAAGCCCCTGGAAACTCGCTGACCCCTGAAGGTCCGGGAACGACTTTCCGACGACCCCTGCCCGACCTGAAGCCTGTTCGAGAAGGGCTTGGACATCAACACCCTCAAACCCTGAATCCCTAAAGTCCGAAACGGCTAGCCTTAAACTGAAGACTGCCTCAACTTCCACGCTCCGCAAAGCCGTGCGCTGCGCATGTTGCCGAGGTGCGGCTGGAAACCTGGGATGCAGGTCTTGTTTCCTCTCGCCCATCCTAGTGTCGGCCCTAGACTCACAGTGTCGATCCCAAACCCGAAAAGCCCTGGTTATGCCGTCAGACCTCAATGGCACAAGCAAGGTCACTCATGCTCTCACGACTGCGGAGGTAGCATTGCATTTGGGATTGCACAATGCTTGCGTGAAGCTCATAAGCCATAAGCCCCATACGGGCTGACGGACCTAAACGGGCCCTAACTCACATCCCAACGGCCGCATACCGGGAGAGTGTCAAAGGGTTCGGGATTGACAATTCAGGACGCAAAGGTTGTGGAATGAATGGCTTGAAATGACATAGCAGGATATGCCATGTCTTTTCTCTAAACTATGAGGAGCCCCAAAATGTAGTCCCACATTTCGCCGGAAGCCCCCGACAAGGCCTTCGGCAAGCGACAGAAACGCGAAGCAGCCCACGTCCCACTGCAGAGCTGCAGCTCCTAGCAGGAGCCTTGGTCGCGGCGCTGCCGTCCCATCAGGCCGTGTTAGAGGTCCTCTTTAAGCTTCAGGGTTCTTGTTTCACATTCGCACTCGGACCAGCCAGGCAGAACTGAAACGACGGTCTGACAGCGGGACACGACGGATACAGCTAGCCACCTATAACATACGACAGTATACTATAGCGTTTAACTAAGGCTTAGACTAGACTAGACTAGACTAGACTAGACTAGACCATACTATGGTGCACTGTACCATATTCTGCTATACCATACTCTGCGCGACAATACAACACCATACCATACTAAACTTTACTATAAACACAAATTATACCATGCCATACTATACTGTGCTATACTATCGTATATTTTGCTACCCCTAGGGCGGCATTTTCTTACTATACTGTACAGTACTGTACTGCACTATACTATACTTCTCTGTGCTACACTACGCTACGATGCCATGCTGTACCCTGCGATGCTTTTCTGTGATAATATACTGTATACTGTACTGTACTGTCCTAAACCAGACAAAACTATACTATACCGGACTTACTTGACTAAGCTAGGCTATACAACGCTATACTATGCTTTGCTAAATTGTGTTGCATTCAATTCTGCTCCATTTTGCCGTGTTCCGTTCTAGTCGTAGGAGGCAGAGGTTTGCGAGGGAGCCTGGGTGCCAGGATCTGACTCTGCAGCCCAAACCCTTGAAATAGTGCCCCTGCGCGATGTCTGAGTTAAGAGATACCGTAAAGTCAGTCCAAAATCTCGACACCGCAAACCCGACAAATAGGGTGTCGGGTCCTTACCTGTGGGCTCCTTAGGTCGGTCGTCATTGAGCTAAACATGATATCCGGCAATGTATAGTATGATTCAAGCTAACATAATCACCTACTATCCCTATCATAATACGCCAAGAACTAGAGGCTGACGATGTGTGAAGTAGAGATGTTGCTTTCTGCGCGCAACTCCTTCAGCCCTGAATGCTGAAACCGTGAATTACGTAACCACAATCTCTCAATGTACCACAATTTATCTGAATGCGATGCCCTATTGGGTTATTCGAGACTCCAGGCCGGCCTTCGAACTCAGGGTTCTGATGCCTGGTGAGACTTTCAAACCCACTTCCGGTTTCAAGAGGACCGCAAAGTGAAACTCGTCCACTAACTTCGACCCGAACTCGCCAAACAACTAAACCTGAAGCTTGCTGCCACAGGCCTAGCTGACCGTCGACTGGAGGGAAAATCGGAGTATCACGAGAGATGGGGCACAGGAAACCCAGCTCGAAAGGATTAGTCAAAGGAAGAACTGCCTTTCGAGGCTTTTTTGATCTCTCTTGGACAAGCCGGCGGTCAGGAAGCGGTTCAGTAGTGTCGTGTAGAGTTCGGGTGCTCGCCACTTGCGAAGCACCGTGGCACTGAATGGGGGCTTCGAGTCCCTAGCCGAATTTAGCGTGCGGTCTGTTGCTGAAACTTCGATACTACCGGAACAACCCCAGTACAAGAAGTGCTCAAAGTATGCCACCACATCCTACAAACTCCTGTTGCAGAAGCACGAGAAAACCAACATACTAAGTGGCACCTTCATGCAACAACCTACCATACTGAAAGTACCAAGTAAGGCAGCACAAGCAATGCGATAGCAATGAATGGGCATCTACAAGCTGTCGCCTTCATTTCGCTCTGCTTCATGCCCCCAGGCACCTAGAGCCTAGACCGCGCTCTGCCAAGAAGCACAGCCAAACGGCCAGCACCACGAAGGCGCGGAGCAAGCATGGCGGGCGTGCCGGATTTTGGGGGATTGCTTGAGGGGCTGCTTGGGGTTTTGAACCTCCGCAGTCTGATCCTGCTTTCGTGTACGGTCGTCGGTTGGAGCAGAGACTGAGATGCGGGCACGGGTCGGGAGGAATGAAACGAGCAAAGACGGGAGAACTTTTCCAATGAGACTAGAGAAGCTCAACCGTCCGAAGAGTGACGCGACTGGTGTTGGCCTCCAGCCTGGCTATGACTATTTAACTTGCCGGCGAAACAAACGCGCAGAACTAGCCCCTCGGGGGTGCGCCATGGCGTTCACGTGCACCTTGAAGTTGCCTTGTGTTCCTATTGCGGTGTGAGGCGCACCTCCACCCTGCTTCTGCACTCTCTGTGGCCAGCGCCTTTCAGCTAGGGTGTCGCGTCGAGGAGCTCAGAACGGCTGGCGCCAAGTCGTTGAGAATTGCATGATGCCGTTCCAGGCATCGTCCTCTGCCAGCGCCTTGCGCTTGAAGGAAAGCTGCAACGTCGCAGGACTCAGTTGACAGAACCCTGGGAAAGATAGCCACTCTGCCAGCGCGGCAGTCGAGGACGGGGGTTCCACCTGTCGCCCATGAACTGCTTCGAGTCGGACATTTTGCAAAACTGCCTCGTACTTGTAAACTGGACCGAAGCCGCAGCATCACCCCGAGCTCGCTGCATAGGGTTTCAGTTTAAGCCAAAGAGAGCAGTCAGAAGCATGAGGCCTAAACCCGTTCTTGTCCATAAGGGTCCCCTTAGGCCTAAACTCCAAAACCTTGGAGCCCCTAAGCCAAAACCAGCCTTTAAGTGAAACTCTGGTCCTGTGCTTTGCTCTCCAAGAGCCGAGCTCCGACATGTCCCAAACAAGACCTAAATATCGGTCTGGTCATTTCGAAAGTGTTTGGGGCTGATGTAAGGCCCAAGCTCAACACTTGATGCATTCTCCGATCATTGCAGGCATAAGGAACCCAACCAAGATGCTTTCAAGCTGCTAGGGGTCCTAGGCCCTAGGCCCTAGGCTTGTTAATTAGGTTGGGCCCCTGCAATCACGGGCCTGGTGCTTGGGCGCTTGCTGTGGCCTGACTCAGGGAGCTGCAGCTTGTAGGCTGTGGCTTGTGGACTCGGGTTTTGGACTCAAGCTTAGGAAGCCATGCTTTTGCAGCAAGGTCTTGGAAAGAATGAGGCTTGAACTATCGTCCTCCACCTACGTCAGAGCCAGAAAACGTGACTAGCAAAGAATGAAGCTCTCCGGACCGGCAATACCAGTGCAAGATTGCAAGGTTCCTCAGCTGGCCCACCTGGCTCCCAAGACCCGAAGGCCAAAGCAACCCGAAACTTTAGCTTCTGAAGATACTCCCCATGTGCGGAAGGTGCTAGTTCTTGGGCGCCTCTTGCGAAGGGCCAGTGCCACTGCCAGCAGCGTACAAGCGAACACGACAAAGGGGCGCTCACCTTCACAAGGAACAATCATCCACCATCTTCAAGAATTATCGTCGTCCCTCGGCCCATGAAAACAAGTGTTCTATATAACTTGTATAACACTATCTCCGAGTCTCTGTAGTAATCTTGACATGCCCCGTGTCAACAAACAAAAATTTTCGACACAGATCTTACCTCGCAGCCCACCATCGTCAACAGTCGTCATCATCATAATCATCATCATCAAATGCAATCCGAAGATGCTTTGGACAAGCTGATTTTAACCACTGTTTTTCCGGTGGCTGCTCTCTTACATTCCTGACACTACAATTACTGTTGCTACTTCTTCTTCTGCCCATGCTGCTATTGCAATTGCTACTGTTGCAGCTACTGGTGCTTCTACTGTCTACTTGCTGCTGCTCCTGCTCCCTCCTCCTCCTCCTCCTCCTCCATGTCCTTCCTCCTCCTCCTCCTCCTCCGCCACCACCTCCACCTACACCTACACCTACACCTACACCTACACCTACACCTACACCTACACCTACACCTACTCCTACTCCTACTCCTACTCCTACTCCTACTCCTACTCCTACTCCTACTCCCACGACTACGACTACGACGTCTACGGCTACGGCTACGGCTACGGCTACGACTACGACTACGACGGCGACGACGACGAGGACGACTACGACTACGACGACTACGACCACTACTACCACTACTACTACTACTACTACTACTACTACTACTACTACTACTAGCGGCGACGACAACGACGACGACGACGACGACGACGACGACTACTACTACTACTAGCGGCGACGACAACGACGACGACGACTACTACTACTAGTACTACTGCCGCTACTGTTACTGCCACTGCTACTGCCACTGCTACTGCCACTGCCACTGCTACTGCCACTGCTGCTAGTACTACTACTACCACTACTACTACTACTACTACTACTACTACTGCACGAGGGGCTGTCTCCGATGTTTTATTATATGCTCACCTCACAAAGCATGTTGGCAACGGTATGCTTGACGACTTTACGGTAGGTCCCGAGACGAAGTGGCTGCACTTCCTTCCCGCTCTCCCTGGTTCACACTTGCGCGCTTGAACTTTTGTTTGGCGCCAGCGTTGGTCTGAGTCAGATCAATGCAGGAGGGATGGCTCGAGTGTTGTCTAGATCTGAGTGAATAGTTACTTGCAGAGTGTTGAGCTTGTTAGCTCGTTCTTGAGCCACGATGTTGGCGGTAAGCTTGATAGCACTGATAATTGTGGTAGTCGCACGCTGTTCGGGAACCGACCCAGCGGCGCTACTTCTCATAGCTCAAACTACCAATCATGACGTGACACCAACGAATTGTACGAGGCATCAAGGGCTGTTCGCACCCCCCATGAGTAAGACCATGTAAGACCTTTGGCACCTTTGGTCATGCTCACGCCGGAAGAGAATCGCGACAGAAAAGATATACGCGCTTTACCCGCTTCACCATCGTAAGTGATATACTTCGAGCCTTTCATCCCTAATTAAACTGAGTGACACTTCGCTACGTCAGTGACGATCCCCTGAAAAAGACATATGGCGTCAGAATCAAACAGTCACCCAAGAAGGCTGTCCGCGATGACGATCACGTTCGCGAAGTTCATGCCACAGCGTTCATAGATACATATAGATACGGTTCAGACGTCGGGGCATCACGGTCGTATTCAGATCCAGTCACGGTACTCGCGATTCCAACGATTGTAGTGTTGACGATCTCGTTCGCGGTCTTCAGCGTTACCAGAATCTTTTCCTTTGCCTTTCGTGTCTGACAACTTGTTGGCATTGCTGTATCCAGGACGGCGCGGTAGAGGATCGTTTGAACTTCCGGCTCCGCGTCCAGATGGCGGGGCCTTTAAAGTTCGGGCGGTCGCACTTCGGCTTGGGCCCATGCTTCGTCCCTCATGCGTTCGCGAATGCCATATGTACCAGGTGTCCTGCATTCCGAAGGATTTACGTGATCACGCAAGGTATTGTTGTGTCTGGGCCGTGCGGTTGACGTTGCGGCCCTCCTGAGCTTGTCGATGTAGTTCGCGGGACATTGGATATCACTGCTCACGATAATCTCAATGGTGAGGTCCTGAGATTTCTGTGGCCCGTCGATGAGCACGATGCCCACCGGGTCATGTAGCATGGAACCCTTCCCCTCACGGGTTCCTTGAGAAGTGAGAAGAACTTGGAATATCCTGTCGTCTTGGCGACAAAGTCCTGCAAGATTTGGTGAACACTAGCATACATGCTAGGTGCACCGAGCTTGTCCTCCGTGATGAAAATTCGGGTTGATTTGCTCACGAGTATAGCCAAGCTGATGTGCTCCTCCGACCAAAGTTGCCAAAGTTTGACCGGTACGGAAACGACGAAGTGTCCATGTGCCAGCTGGGTCTTCAGGCTTAGGAAATTGGGTCGCGTACGTGAGAATTTCATCGTCGCTGACCTCCCTTGGCAACGTCGTCTCAGCATCGACTTCATTGAGTCCTTCTCATGATCCCAATACATCATGTCGTAGCCCTTGACTGCTTCGTTCTTGAACCTGCTCGTAGGTAAGCTTGCGCCAACTCATGATTGTGGGCCAGACGCGATGCATACAATGCCCAACGATGTACCCCATGTACAAATATGATTGCCTGATTGCGTCCACGCAATGTGCAGGGTCCATGTTCGGGTAGTATGGCACCTGGCGTGATATCCTGGCGTTGGTAAGCTCGGGATCGATGAAATTGACGTTTGCGCGGACAATGACGGGTCGGCTTTCGGCCACATCACCGGGATTGGCGTTCTCGTCGTAATCATCATCTTCTTGCTCAGGTTCTGGGACCATCGGTGTATCGACATCCATGGCTTCTTCTGCTTCAGATTCGCCAACGGTTTCACGATCATCTTCCTCGGGCTGATTAGCTGCCGCATTCGCAGCTGTTTCTTCCATTGCATTGTTAATCTCCTCGCGCGGAATCTCGGCTGCAGGTTGTTGTTGCGCAACACGTTGGAATCTTCCGTCTGAAAGATGAATAACGAAGCAATTTGTGCAACGAGCGATGCATTTCCAGGCAACAAGGGCACAGCCTTGTTTTGACCGTTGAGCTCCGGGGATCCAAGGTGGGTGGCGAAACGGATGCCTTCCTCGATGACCCTGATGCGATGAGTATCGCTTGGAATACGGTCGACGACCGACGTCAAATCACAAATGTTCCTTGCCTTCTCCTGGTCTCGTGGACCACTTGGAAGATCGCACAGGATGCTCATCACAGTTTGGGGTGGCCGTCGGTGCTCGAACTGGCTGGCCAGCGGCGAAGTGTTGGTGTTGTGATGATGAAGACATACTTCGTTCTCGAGGCTCTAGTCTTAACGTATTCTAGCATTGGACACGGCGACGCATGCAGAAATAAATGGTGAAACAAAGGTAAAATAAAGGTAGAAGAAAGGTGATTGCGAAAAGTAGAAGCAAGGTAAAAGGTAAAACAGAGGTGAAACGAAAAGGTGGAAGTAAGGTGGCAGTGAGGTAGATGTGAGGTGGAGGAAAGGTACATGAAAGGTAGGGAGGTACAAGAGATACTCAGGTAGCACAGGCTAGCCCCACGAGCGAGAGAACACAAGAAGCAGGCGCATGTCTGTGTCCAATATGTTTGATGTTGTGGCACTCCTGTCCGCTCGCTCCGCTGCTGTGTGCGTCAGTTTTTGTCGGAAAGGCGCCAAAGATGTTGAGTAGGTGAGAGCCAGCGGTGAGTCGGCTAGACCGTCCAGAAAACATGTCACCAGTGACTATAGACTTTAGTGCAGTCCAGACGTCTCCATCTATATGTGCGTATGTCTATGTGGATATGTATAATTATAGATGTGTCTATGTATATATGCATGCGACATCAACACGACGCAACCACACCCACCAGCGAGCCATAACCTTATTTGTTTTGCATCGCAACGTGCCCAGGCACAGTCGTCGTGGTCGGGTTCCCCGGCCGGGGTCACCTTTTTGCTACCTTCCCCACGGCTACCTTTTTCCAGGCTGCAAACCTACCTTTTCCCACCTTGATTCCACCTTTCTTCCACCTTAGTTCTACGCCTCAGCACCTGTCTTCCACTTTGCTTCCACCTTTGTTCTGCCTTTACCACCTGCGGCGACCTTCTACGTGGCAGAGAGTAATCATAGTGGGAAAGGAAGAATAAAGGTGAAATAAGGGTGGAATACAGGTCTTCGGTTGTGGACCTCGTCCCTTCCCGCCTGCACCGCATGGCCGATGGTTTGTGTGCGCCCTGCCGCCGGAGTGGCGCTCGGCGGTCGCCACATTGTCACGCGCCATCCATGGGGGG